GAAGATATCCTTGGAGTCAGCCCACTGCACGCACGCCACTTGCCCCGAACGGCAGAAGTTCATGTCGCCGCGATTAGGAATGGTACGCCCGAGGCTCTCGAGGTACGTATCAGNAGTCAGCCCACTGCACGCACGCCACTTGCCCCGAACGGCAGAAGTTCATGTCGCCGCGATTAGGAATGGTACGCCCGAGGCTCTCGAGGTACGTATCAGCGCCGGCAGTCAGATCGGCGCGGCAGGTACCTACAGCGAAGATGTCGTGGGAGGCGAGGCACTCTAACAGAGTGGGGGAGGTGAAGTAGTTGTCCATGGCGATGAATACCCCCGAGCCATCGATCTTCTGCCTCAACACGCCGCACTCCCCCAACAGAACGTGAAGAACGTGGCGAGTAGTCCGGTCGAGCGGGCAGTCCATGTAAGGGCGAAGCTTGGGGTCACCTTTCATGCCGCCATCCACGCTGCTGGTTAAGCAGTAGCCCGTGATATCGCACGCCGCTAGTAGTTTCATGCCTGGCACACATCAAGAAAAAACCGGACGAACGTCCGCCGACAGAGAGGCCGAAGGGACCAGCTGTGGTAAGACTAACGTTGGAACCAGCAGCTGTTGACACCAAGGCGTATTAATGATTCCCGAAGTCTGCGATCACTGATGTACAGAAAAAGAAATGGCGTTGTGGAAGAAGCGGGATAACGCCGCACCGGGGCGTGGATAAGTGCCACCACCCAACTCGACGGCCCCCCTCAACCCCTACCTCTCTCTACTTTTGACAAGAAAAAACACATCGGATTGTTCACGTGTACCACGGTCAAACTACTCTCGGAGACCCTTTTCGTGAGACACGCTTTCAAATGCGTGCTCATGCTCACCGTGCTTGATGGGCTTCGCCGGGCAGTAGAAAGAAACCTTGCTCGAGTACTTCGAAACAGTCTTGATCATTTGCTCGTCGTACGACAACCAATTGTCACACTCGACGTTCGTCGCCCATGCAGTGTTGAGCATCTCTTCTAGCTCCCTGCCAGACAGGGAAGAGCATCAGAAACATAGCACTTAAAAGGGTGGGCCGTTACCGGCAGGAACACGCTCGTCATTTGTCATTTCTATCTACTGTACCAGGAGACAAAATTGAGTGTCGGGTGATGTACTCGACGGAAGAAACCTCTACTCATAGAGCGTGCATGTGCGAAAGTTCACTGCCAGCAAACCAAAAACCAACCATACGGCCCCGCACATGAAATAGCGGCGCCGTAGACGGGGGAGAATCTTCGACTTTCCGGGGGGCTTCGGTACCCTTCGACCCACGTCTGTCCCGCCCCCACCATCCCAACTGCAACAAAACCGAAACGACGAGACCCAAACGAAATCGACACCCCAGGTTTTCAACAGGGTACACAGATTGAAAACGAAGACACGTGATATGCCACTTGGAGTCGTAGTCTGGGTTTTCTTCGCCAGCGGGTAGCAGTCGCTTCGGAGCGTTGGGGTCGGAGCAGTGAAGGAAGCGGCAGTACAAGAGCTCGAACACGTCGCGCGGCATGCTCTTCTGGACCAGCGGGTAGTTGTCGTGGGCGGACCGGCTCCAGTGCTTTCGCATTCGGACTTTCTTCGTGAGGCCCATGGTGATGAAAATGCCGATCATGCCGTCCATGTGCTGCTCCTCGAACATGCCGTAGGTGTTGCGCTCCTCGGACCGCTCCCCGAGCGTGACGCGACCGAGCGTGGCGGACTTCTTCATCTGGTGTGGCTTCCGCTTGTCCTCCTCCCCGGGCGGCGGCGCCGTGGTGCAGTGCTTGACGTAGGCGTTCGTCTGCCCACAAAATAACGGAGGAGCGGGGGCGGGGTGGGGGAGAGAGACACGGAGGTTAGATGGAGGCGGGTTTCGGGGCAGGTTTCGAGTCAAAGTCTTGTGCAAGGCTATTTCAGAATCGTGGCAGAGCTATTGGGCGCACGGCAGCAGGGGGGCAGCGACTTTGTGCGGGGTGGATGGGTACCGAAGAGAGGGCGGGCGGTAGGTCTCGGGTTGTTTATGCACCTTCATTGTATTCGGTTTCATCATTGCAAGCGCTGGAAATTCCTGCTTCAATACTCCGCACACACGCGCACCACGGGACACATGAAAGCAAAGCGGTGCGTGTCGCAACAAGACAACAACATAATTAACATACCTTATCCAAAAACAACTTTCGCGCCTTTTGCGGGAAGGTGAGGTCCAAGCACTTCTCCAAGGCGAGGTCAAGCGAAAACTCCCCGCTGGTAGGGTTCTGGTGCGACATGAAGTTGTCCAACGATGGCAGCGCGGCGCGAGCCTCTGCCGACAACGAAACTCCACGCCCGATGTCTTTTGACATCTTGTTGCGCCTCGTGAAGTGGTCGGACGTTTCGTAGTCCTCCATCCCCCTTTCCGTCCACACCACCTCCTCGTCACCGCTCTCCTCCTCCAGCTCTGGGGGTGGCGACTTCCTGGACTTGGACTTTTTCTTCCGCTTGGGGTTGGTGGCTTCCTTCTTCTTCTGCCGTTCATATCGGAGCTGCGTTCAACACGTCCAGCGAACAAACAAACGTGAACAGCGATGGTTGGGACAAAAAAAGAACAATTGGTGAAAATGCGGACACACGCGCGAAAAACAACCATAAGCGTATCACTACGGGCGTGAGGCGGGGGCGTGGAAGTAGGCCACACGTTTTCGGACTGAACGATGTACAGCAGCAAATATTCCTGACAACCGTCGTGGACAAGCGACAGTACAACGGCGTCGACCACGACGGAACCATTGCGTACAACCAACGACGAAGGGGCGTTGTACGTGATACGAGAAAATGAGTTGCATTACACAACACCGCAGCAAAAGACCCGCGGAAACAAAGAATAGATCACAAGAGGCCATTGCAATTATGTGTCACTGCCCCAAACAAAGCACGTCAACCAGAGGTTCAACCCGGTACGGAACATAACACGACACATCAGTCGCCGACACAAGACAAAAGGCACACACTCCTACAAGCACGCCCTAACGGATGCGCAATCACACACGATCACAAGAGGAACGCGGGACACAGAACACACCTTTTCGGCCTTCGCTTTCATGATGCTCGTACGTTTGAACGCCGCCTTGTACGCTGGTTCAGGGATCTTGTTCAGCTTGCGCCGCAGCAACTGTTGACTCCTTGTGAGAGAAGGGAGCGCGCCTCTGTATCCGAGATAAGTCCAGTCCGTGCCCTCGTCGCCAATGCTCCCATCGGAGTCGTAGTTGCCCCCCCGGTGCTGCCGGCCGCGCCACCTCCCCCTGACGTTTCCTTGCTTTCTCCGCTTGGCCCTTGTTTTTTTGTGCTACCCCCATCGCTCTTCGCCGTCCGATTGCGCTTCGATTGCGCCAGCGGCCCGTCGTCAGCTTCCAGCTGCGACTTCTTCGTGCTCGTGCGTTGCCGCTTCAACGTCGTCTCCGCACTCCCCGCCGCCCTCCTCCTTTTCACCGGCACAGGTGACGGCAGCGAAGTGTCGCCGTCGCCCTCTCCTCCAGACCGGGCGACGGAGATGATAGCGTCGAACTCAGCCTCAAAGTCGGCACCGAGCTCTAGAAAGTCGAAGGGGTTGTGGCGAGACACCGTATTTTCGTCACCCCCAACTTCGGTCCTCGCTTCCCAACTACTCCCGCTGCGGTATAACAGGTGCACCCACTTATGCCCCTCTTCGTCGTGCTTGATTTTTTTGTCAAACAGAAAGAGGCCTCACATGATCTTCTTGTACAGCTGCACCAACTACCCTCTCCCGCTAGGCTCCCAAACCGCCATGTTGCCCTCGTACATTTCCGGGATGAGTGAAAGCCAGCACAAGTCCAGCCACTCCGTCCGTAGCTTCTCTTGCCCTATCGAATCCAGCCAACCGTAGGTCATCACGCCTTTGTCCGCGGGTTCAGGTGTGTTCAGCTCATACGGATGCATCCGGAAAGTTTCAGTGCACTGAAGAGCGCGAGCCCGACGCGTCTGCTCAGTCGAAAGCAGAGTGGTCATGACCGCTTGCGACGCTGATGGTCCTAGGATGTGGGAGATGATGCTGTGTTTGAGGGCACTCTTCATACCATCAGACATTCATAGAACACGGATGTTCGTTTGTCCAAGACTCGCCTGGAGACCTTTCAGCAAGGCGTGGTAAGCACAATCCCCATCTCCGGCAACCTCGTGCGCTTGAGCTTCTCCCGGGGGCGTGAACGTGCGGCGGAATTCCCGTCTCTTGACCACGCAGTTCACCTTGGGAAGACTGGACTCAAACCCCGCCTTGTTGGCCGCGTCACGGCCGAGGCGGTAGGCTTGGGGCAGGAGCTCTTGGGGTGTGTACGCCCCCGTAACTTCGACTTCAAGTTCGGGGCGAAGAGCAGCAGCAGACACGGCAGCAGCAGCAGCAGTAGCCATGATCGTGCGGGGGAGAAAACCCGCCAGCAGGGCGAACATTGTTGTCTTCGTCGCATCTGCTGGCGTCTGTGTGTGTGTGTGGTCTGGCGCGCACTCGCGGATCTGCACCGCAGTGGATTTCGCTGCTCGTGTGTTCGTTGCGTCGGGAACTGTCTGTCTGGTGTCCCCGCGTTCACACTTGCTCTGAGAACGCGATCTTTTCGCGCTGTCGAGCCCGCGCTCGCAGTGCGACTTTCGACGAAAAACTTGTGCGACAGGAAGAGTAACAACATTCTTATCGATACTCAGGAGGGGTGTGGTCACAAAAGGGTTAAAGTGGGGTAGCGACATGAGGTGTGATAGCCTGCCTGGGTTTGCGTCTGCGTGTGGTATATGCATAAGGAACCCGGGCAATATTTGACATGGGGCAAGCCCGGGCGACGTGATCAAGTCGGGGGTCCACGACTGAAAAGCAATAATAACTCCAGATTCACGAGCAAAAAGTGTAGGATTGAACGAAGGAAGTCTGGGGTTTGTGGCGCGGGATTGAATCGTACAGCAGTGGCAAGGTAGGCAAGAAAATGCGGGGAAGTTTCATCGGGACATTGGATGAGCACGGTGGCGATGACGTATTGGAGTACATCTTCAGCAGCAGCAGCAAGAAGCAATAAGAAGAGTGCGCCCTGCAGCTGCTCCTGTGAGACGAAGGGGCGATCTGCCATAGAGGTCATCACGTGTGTGTAAGGTAAAGCTCAGGGGTGGGCTTCCGCTAGGTGATTGGCCGGAAAACCATCCCGCCCTCCCTACCGGGTTTTCGTGAAGGGGACCAGGGGTGGCGAGATGAGGTGTGACAGCCTGCCTAGGTGTACGTCTGTGTGTGGTGTATGCATGAGGAACCCGGGCAAAGATTGGCTTAGGGTAAGCCGGGGTGACGTGATGAAGTCGTGGGGCTCCACGACTCAAAAAATAATAATAACTCCAGATTCATGAGCATAACAAATAGTCGTAATCAGGCGAATTCGTTCGAATTTATTTTGGTGAACACGCACTCCATCACAGAGCTCACGAGCTCACGCATCTTGCTCCATTATTTTTCGAAGTTTTTAAATATAGACTCAACTCACATCCTCGATGTGGAGCTCAAGCATCTTTTCGCTGCACCCAAGACTCGGTATTTCCAGAGATGCTTTCCAAA